GAGTGGGATTTAGCCTCCGTGTATATGCTAACCTCGGTGATAAATTGTTACTAATGCGGTAGTACCTCCGCCGTTGATAATATTATCAAAAATCATTGAGTGTAGTAAAATTTCACTATCGAAAATTGAGCGGTTTTTAGTTTAAAACAAGTTAACGCGTTATTAATAACCCTAAGAATTGGTAACAAAATATCGAGTTAGCCATTTTTTATTAATTTAATAAATCCTATTCGATACGATGACCGTAAGTTGAACATGGTTTAGTGTTACTTATGAGATAATCCTCAAGTTCCTTATCTCGTTTCTAACTTCTGGATCTCCCGGCGCCTCTCCTAACTTTCAGTCGGCACGAGGACGAGCATAGTCACCAAGATCAGTATAATCACCTGCGCGCTATAAATAAATGAGACATACGAGTTGGTAAGCTTACACAGGTAGTTTTACGTTTCGAAAATTTTGATTACGATGATAAATTAATATAATCGATAATTTCAAAACTTACAAGAAAATTTTCGCCCTCGTGGTGTCATTATGCTACCAATCTACTTATGCCATCAAATTGTCGATTTCGCGTCAATAAATAATTAATGATAGGGAGTATGACAAAATTAATAATACCCTTGCAAATAATCGTAAGATTTTATCTCATGAATATCTTAATTTGACTCATGTGGATTGACATCTAAGATGCACTGTAATTTTATAAAGCAGCAATTAAAAAATGGGATTGGTCTATCGATTTCAGTCTTTTTACATATTTCATATTTTTGGTATTGCAACCATTTATTAACAATCAATTATCATTACACAAAACTATAATATCGATAGCCGAATAGTACTAAACTTGCAAAATTTATTACGAAGAATTTTATTAATTTGTGTACTATTAATACGCAAACGGGTTTGAATATCATTAACATGAAGTATACAGAAATATGCTAGCAAATATTTACTTTTTCGTCCCCAATAATTTACACACGGTCATTTACCATAAAATGGTAGTAATATATTTATGCTCCTTGGAATTTTAAATCTTTTATAGATATAACTAATGTTCCAGTACCACAATTAATTTAAATTCTTATAAATAATTATCCAAGCATTAAATAACAGGATAGAAAGGATTCTATGTAGTATGAGAACTTAATGTTGTCTTAACTAAAATTGCGAGGGCTACTGGCATATGTGGCAGCAAGGAATGCAAAGTTGGTAATAGCGTTCATAGCATCTCGCTCAATTACATATTTACACTCTAAACAAAATTGAGTAAAAAAGAGGATGACACAACAGTCGAGGTAAAATTTGTCCAAAATTGAGTAAAATTTGCCCAACGTTGTGCGAACAAGGTGCATCATCATCATAATTTTACTCAATGTTGGACAAATTTTACCTCGACTGTTGTGTCATCCTCTTTTTTACTCAAGGTTGGGCAAATTTAGTACAACTTTTTTTTGAGTGTACTTGCATTCATCCAATTTTATGGGTTTACGCTCTGTTAAGAAAAACTTGAAAAGTGAAAAGTGAAAGTAATTTTGGTGTGACTGAATTAAAAATGGAGAAAGTGATTTGCGCATGACCTGCCCTGGAAAACCGATAAGTCATTTCAGACATATCAATTCTAACAGCTTTTGAACTCTGAGCACGAATTTGGTACCCAATTTGACCAAGGACGCCCCGGTGACCTTGGTGACCCCGGTGACCGTGTTGCGTGGGCAAAAGTCACAAATATCAAAACGGTTGATTTACTATCCGACAGAAATGGTATGCCATCATATATAGATTTCATAAATATTTTGATTCATGAATGATTTTTCTCATCATCGTCGTTTTTTTCACTTTTCGGGCGCCTGTGGCATGTTCAAATGTCTGACCGGATTCCTTTTTCCGACTGAATTCTTTATTTTGGAAACATCACTTTAAGAAATTATGATCCCTTCCCCCTTAAGTTGATTTATTATCTTTTTATGAGTGATTTCAGCTTGGCAAACTGCTTTCACACTATTGTACACTTTGAGGTCAATTTTTGGACCCATTTGGAAAATTTCAAAATTTCAAAAAATATTAGCTTGTTTCAGACAGGGTTGAAAGTATGGAACTATTTAAATTTCTCGGTTTCGTTAAAGGGGTAATTAGTACCGATCTGTAAAACAATATTCTATAATCTCGCCCATCCCTGTACCCTTAAACCGCGAAAATCACGGTTGAATTTTAGTAATTAATATTCACGGATGTCTTCGATATTACTCAATTACTTTTATCTAAAAAGCAGTATTGCAACTTTAGTACCTATATATACCATCTAATTGTCGATTTTTTATCTCCCAACGATATTCAAGTTTGATAGCTTAAAATTTGCATAATCTTGTGTACATTAAGAATCCGTAATAAAATTGGGGTGGCTCACCAACCGTTTTCGAGATAAAAGCCCATATGTGTGAATTTTTGCGAATTTTGAGAAATTTGACTTTTCACTCAAATTCGGCCAAATATCGGTGGACATAATTTATAAACTAAACCCTAAAAAGGATTGCTTAAGTGAGACTGTGCGAATAAAAAGATGAAATAACCCCCTCCCTCCTCCCACATTGGAGATAAGCTGTTGGTAAAATGAGCATCACCGCCATTGGGAATGATTTCCGAATTGTGCGAAGATGCATTATGATGTACCCCAATTTTGTATAACAAACCCCAAAATGGACTGATTAGTTTATTATTAGGCGTGCGATAAGATGAAATAACCCCCCCCCCCCCGAAACTTATATAAGTTGTATGTATATGCATACCACTGACTGCAGAAAATGTCTGCCTTATTTTACCTACCGAATTCAGTTATCTCATAATCATGAAGTACGATATTAACCCTGACAAATTAACAAATGCCAGGAACGAGAAAGTAATTATTACTTAGTAATAGAGGATAAAGTATTCAATTTGACTTAATTTAATTCTAACAAATTCTGTAATATCTACTAGTTTTTTATACACAAAATTATTTTTCCGCAACAGTATCATTCCCTTGGGCGGTGATGCTCATTTTACCAACAGCTTATCTCCAGTGTGGGAGGAGGGAGGGGGTTATTTCATCCTTTTATTCGCACAGTCTCACATAAGCAATCCTTTTTTAGGGTTTAGTTTATTTTAAGCTTTTAATTGGTAGCGGCATCACAACAAATTATTAACGAAATCAATTAGCCAACTATTGTGGTGAGTGTGGCGGGTACTACAAATGGTAGTACCCGCCACACCATATATTGTAGTCTACAATATATGTATTCAAATGACATTGAAATCTGAAAGGAGTATGTAGTTTTCCTTCAAGTATAGGTATGAGTGAGCATTTCCACGCGACCATATGCAACTTGAGTATTGTGTCAGTGGATAACTTTTTCATTTCTCCATCGATTTTGTTCATCCCAATTTTAAATGAGAGAGAAATATATGTGCCACATTTTGTAAGAAATAGATTTTCAATATAGTTCTCAACTTTGTTAGTACAGACGAATATTCGCCAAAAAATCGCCTCAAAAACAGTTTTCTGAACATAAGTCAGAATCGGTACACAAATCCTCATTGGCAGTACAGGAATCTGATTGTACACCACCATAAATGACTCTGGGTTTTTATTTCATCAAAAGTAATGGACTGTGGTCACTTTTCAAACCGTTGCTGAATGCTTACTTAGGTATTTTTTCTGTAACCATAGCCTCACCTAAGAAAAACATTATTTTGGACCAGAATTTTGCCACTGCCTCGAATTTGAAACTCCATTTTCCCACCTCCCCACTCCACCACCCGTTCCAATCGAGCTTATCCGAGCCCACGTCAAGGCTGCGACTTACCCATCGTACGAGGCCCCCTTGATCAGAAGCAGCTATGCCGGCTATGAAGCCCCAATGGTCAGGTCGACATACTCCCCGGCCCCTGCCATCCGAACAGTTATCTCATCCGGATATTAAACTCAACAATATGCATAAACCTGCTGATATTGATGTATGCTGGTCAGATCATCTTTTCCGTAAAGGATCGTGATATTTTGAAATACTACACTTTATTTAAATGTGAACTCTTTCTGAAATTCTTGCTAATAAAAAAACATTCACGCATTAAAAATCAAACCTTCCTAAAATTTGGAGTGATATAATATTCATGATTTCCCCTCTTGAAAACTTTCACCGTATAATTTTTCAGTGACTACTCATTAAACTACATACACATTGACACGGACGGTTACATATTTTGCAATCAATTGAATTTTTTAAATAATTAGTGTAGTTCGATTGTAGTCCACTAAACGGTCTTCTGTACATATGTATGCATCTATTTCTTCTAATTTTTGTGCAGATTTACGAAAGGATTGATGTGAGTGTTTTTTTAATACTTTAACTCTGTGATAACTACTTTATCTATTCATGAAAATAAAACCATTACTACGTAATCTAAATATTTTAAAAATAGAAATTTGTGATTGGAATTATTGAGTAGCACAGATGGTGGGTTCAATAGGCAGAATTTACTTCATTCTTATCATTTTCCTGTTATGCATGCCAACCAGATCGAAAGTGAGGTAGATAAGCATGTACTCGTATTTATTCATGCTAACCAAACAATAGCTCATGAAACGTGGATGCATACCTAATTTGTTGGATGACTTATTTGCAGCATTTTTTATGAATGTGTTTACATTAGTGTACAAAAATCAAATCTGTTACATTCATTGGTTAAGAGATATTTGCACGTACTTATGTACATCATTGACAGTGAACTAAATGCAAGTACAAAAGTACGCAGAAGGTCATATTTTAAATACCTGAGCCAGACTACATGTGCCTGTGTTACGTCATGCTCAATTTAGTTTAAAAAAGTATTCCTGATTTACTAAACTTTATACATTTATGTACATGTTTACTCACACAAAACCACACACAATTCTGACGTCTTTCCAAAAATGGTACAAAACTCTGCTCAATTCCTCGTTTTGAGCATAATTCTCTCCAAAACTTCATCATGCAACCAATTTTACTTTCGTTCGCCGTTCTAGCCTTGGTAGGAGGTAGCTTGGCCGTAAAACCATTCATTTTGGAAAGGTGCAGCGGTGCGAAACCTGGTATCCCGGTCGACATCGTGGCCCAAAGAGGAGCTGCTTTATTCTATAGTAACGACTACCGAAGGAGACATGGGGCCCTACCACTCACCGTTGACCCCACGGTAAGACCGAAATTTCCGTTAAAAACTACCCCAAAAAATTTAGAAAAGCCCACTCTTAGAAATCCAGTATCAAAATAATACCAAGCCTTCATGTACATACGTATCACTCTACCAAAGTAGTCGGTGTATTAATAGCTCGACATTAAAGTCTTACCATATCAGTACCAAATTTTTACGGACCGTTATAATTTTAATACCAAGGGGTACCAACTTTAACACCGAGAAATCAATACCCTTCTGATACCCAGTTTATTATTTCACCCAGCTTGAAGCCGAAGCTCAAAAACAAGCCGACTACATGGCATCCACCGGAACCATCGTTGGTGGTTGGGTGAATGGAGAAAATATAGCCAGGATTCCCTGCGATGATGCAACCCAACAGAAGTATCCCACAGAAGCCACAATTCCGGGTGCCGTTTTTCGCTGGTATGGACAAATGATCCCATTCCGCTGTCCAAATCCGGCCCGTTCTCTCGCCAGTTTTGCCGGAATTGTTTGGAAAGCGACGGAGAAAGTGGGATTCGGCGCCGCGGTCCGGTCTGACGGATTCATTTTCGTCGTGGCAAAGTATTCTCCACCGTTTAGTGGAGATCCTGCTGCAAAGATGCAAAATGTCCAGTGTGAAGAAGTCGCCTAATTTTATGCAACGAAACGAATTTCATGAAAAATTTCATATCAGGAAAAAACTAAATGTATGTTTATGGATTTATCCGTAATGTAAATGTCTAAGTGTGTTCTAGTTGCGTGTCTGATTGTGAATAAATCTTACTGAAATGCAAACATAAACTTTATTTAAGATATGCATATTCTGTTGCATTCGTTACTTTGGCAAATTTAATTAGATGTCAAGATCCTGTATTTGAAATGATTCAGAATTATTTTATACGTACGAATGGTGCAGAATAGACGAATAAAATAGATACACAATTATGGCATAATTCTGCATTAATCTTGCTTAATAGGCCGACTGAAGATGTACATAATTGTGATATAATTTTGCACTAATGGTGCGGAATAATGGGATAAAATAGATACACAATTTTGGTATAATTTTGCAGGAATGATGCAGAATAAGCGGACACAATATATACATGATTGTGATATAATTTTGCACCACTGGAGGAAAATAAACGAGGGAAAACAAACCATAATCTTTACATGAAATATTGGCAAATTCGTAGTAAAAATTATGGTTATTTTTTTTCGGTTCTTCTGCACGTTTGGTGCGTTTCGCATCTGTTCTCCCAATTGTTTGGCACCATTTTGAGTCACGGATTGTTCGATACCAGTGATGCTAATTAGTTGGTCACAAATGCCAATAACTCGCTTTAATTATCATCAATTCAAGCAAAAGAGTCGTTAACAGACAGACGGACGGACAAGAGGAATTCAATAGTACCTGAGTCAGGTACTATTACCTAACACCGTCCACTTAATTGGGGCGGATTTCGGATTCCTAATCCGCGGATTTCGGATCGGATTTTGTCGGATCGGATTGCCACTCCTATACCTGACTGTGGATTTTATGTAGATGTATGTATGCAGTGGTACCGGTGCTGGTAATGATGACAGCGCGCTGTCACGAGGCCGCGTGACAAATTAGCGTAAAAAATATAGTAAGGTACTGCTTGAGCGAGCTCGAATATAACTAATCTAGCTGATATAGATTTTTATGATACAACGGATTCGTCAAATAAATTGAAACTGAATCGGAATTTTGTAAATAATTAGGAATTTTAAAATGAATCCGTTACTATTTGATTCGGAATTTTGTAAACAAAGCGAAATTTTATTAATTTACTCGAAATTTAGATATTTCAAAAAGTCGTTAATACATAATTCAAGAAAGGTTGTTAATAATGCATCCACTTGTTAATATTACCCAGTTGGATGTTATGGTATTGGTTATTGAGCCAGGTAGGAGTACGAACTATTTACTTGATTATGGGCGATATAATTAGTTAGATTTCATTAATTGCTTTTGAAAACAAACTTTTTGACCTAACTAACTAACCAGGTTGATATGATTTGTTGAAATTTAGAATTAAATGACATTTTTCGCCAGCAACTTATATGCATAATTATTTTTTACGTCCACAAAAACAAATTGAATGATCGTCTGTCCTACATAAATAGATATACAGTTCGCGCCACAAATAACCGACCAAGATTTTCCATAAGACTCCATGCTATGGAGTCTTATGGGGTTACCAATACTCATAAACACTTAGCATTCCGCAATTTTTGTGCATAATTTAATGCACTTTAAGGTTTTATGAAGATTGGGCTCACAAAAAAATTTTAAGAAAGAAATTGCGGTAAAGCTTAAAAAAGGTGAAATTCAGTCGGCCGAAAATATCTGACCAGATTTACGAATTTTAGTGTTTTGTTTGTTTGTTTGTTAATCCTTTATTCACGTGTCAACAGAGATCAATTCATAACAAATTGGTTTACACACCATGATACAAATAGCAATAAAAATCTTTTAAGCAGCTAATCTACACTGCGCTTCATAAGTGGTCGCCAAAGTTCTTGCAGTGACTTTGACCTCCTCTATTCCGACAATGACATGGAATATTTTAATTATTATTTTTGCCTTTTGAAGTTAAATTAGTTGGCAAAAATCTGCAAAAAAAGTTTTCATAAAACATTGAAAATACCATGTTGGGAAACGAAAAGCTGCCAAAATGGGAAAACGGGGTGGTCAAAAGTCATCGCCAAAATCCATTTTTTCTGCACTACTTTTGGAAATATTACTGGTAAGTCAATTATTTCTTTTATTACTAAAAGTCTATACTCTTTGAGCCATTTAGGTCAAATAAACTCCTAAAAATTGTGTAATGTTGTCACCAAGAAAGTGGTTGGAATTGAGGTGCGCGACCCCATTATGCAGCATTACGAACACGTCGAAAACGGTCAATAAACGCAGCTGATATGGTCAAATTGCTTCAAAAAAGTATCAGGGATATAATTGCGAGGTAAAAATGACTATTATCCATTGCAGATAAAGGACGACAAGGAAGACCAGCACTAATTACCGAGCGTGAGGAGAAATCATTGGAAGAAAAGCGTTAACCAACTTCATAATTTCGACAAGTTGAGTTTTGGAAGAGACTGAAAATGGCTCTGGGAGGTCAGCAAGTCCTCCAACTATCGCCATGGTCTTGAAAAACGGAGGCCGAAAAAGATCCGGAACCACTCAGGAGCATTGGACTTCAAAACTCAATCAAAGAAAGAGGCTTAAATTTTGTGGCATTATCTAAGCAAGGACCTGAAATTTTGGGATTCACTTTTTGGTTAATTTTAGTTTTCCCCTCACCCAGAAACGTTAACCTTCCTTTGATCGGACCATAAAATTGAATTGTGAGGTTTCTGGTCCTTGTTTTCTTGCGTCAGCAAATTCAAGCCTTTTTCTTTGATTGCGATTTGAAGTCCAATGCTTCTGTATGGTTCCGGATTTTCTCATACCTTCAATTTTCAAGACCACAGCGATAGTGTAAGGACTTGCTGACCTCCCAGAGTCATTTTCAACCTCGGTCAAAACTTAACTGGTCGAAATTGTGGAGTTGGTTAACACTTTTCTTCCAATGATTTTTCCTCACCCTCGGTAATGATTGATGGTCTTCCTTGTCGTCCTTTATCTACAATGGATAATATCCATTTTTACCTCGCAATTATATCCCTGATACTTTTTTGAAGCAATTTGACCATATCCGCTGCGTTTATTGACCGTTTTCGACGTGTTCGTAATGCTGCATAATGGGGTCGCGCACCTCAATTCCAGCCACTTTCTTGGTGACAACATTACATAATTTTTAGGAGTTTATTTGACCTAAATAGCTCAAAGAGTATAGACTTTTAGTAATAAAAGAGATAATTAACCTAGCAGCAATTATTCCAAAAGTAGTGCAGAAAAATCGGATTTTGGCGATGACTTTTGACCACCCCGTTTTGCCATTTTGGCAGCTTTTCGTTTCCCAACATGGTATTTTCAAAGTTTTATAAAAACTTTTTTTGCAGATATTTGCCAACTAATTTTACTTCAAAACACAAAAATAATAATTAAAATATTCCTTGTACTTGTGGGGATAGAGGAGGTCAAAGTCACGGCAAGAACTTTGGCGATCACTTATGAAGCGCAGTGTACACTAATTATATGTTAATTAATTGGACCATTTACTAATTATATATAAAAAACTTATATAATTGTCCTTTGGGTAATTAAAAGTTCTCTAACAACGTTAAAAAATTCCCTGGTTAAATAATTGCGGCACATGTACATATGACAATCAAAATCGATTGAATAATTTGCCGGACGTGTCGTGTATTATGACAAGTATTGTTTTAAGAAAGATAAAATTTTATTTTTTATGATCCACCCAATAGTTTGTGGAGGATGTGACGCATTTTGAAGTTATGAAAGATTTCATTGTTAAAATTTGTGTGCTTTAATGGAACCATTTTGTTCACTGTCTCATCAAATCATTTGCGACGACCGACATGAATTTGGTGTGACCAAGTTTATTTGGTGTGACCTTTGCGGGCTTGACTGTTCTTTCGTTGTCGCAGGCTTCGCCCTCCAAGGCTGATGTGTATAACAGATTATGCTACTATTTGAAGTAAGTAGACACATTATGTATTATAAAATTATTACGGTACTACTTTGGGCATGAAATAAATGTGTTTCTTCCATTGTTTTAGAAATAGCCCGGTGAACTCAAATCCAAAAGCGGGTAATTATACATATGTATATTCCTAGCAAGTTTTAACAATGGCATAAATTAGTTAAACTGGGAAGTATCAGAATACCGACGTCTCAAATTTAATTCAAAGCCGGAGAGGCCATCCACATGCCCCTCTGACAAGGGAGACTTCCAAAGTGTTCAAACAGTTAAGGGTACCCACAACGTTTTGTAGAATCTACTGGGATCCTTGATATAGGAACCATTCGTATTTCCGTGTAAAACTCATATTCAGCGCCATGGTGTGGCGCCAAACTTAAAAATCCGCGTTTTCGACCAGTTCCAAACCTTTAACTTTTACAGGTTCGTTAGGATTTTCAAAATTTTGGACTAAAATGATCATCAGCGCCAAAATTTTACGAAATAAACCAAAAATAACAAATTTTTATTTTATGAAATAATTTTTGAGATTTTTCCTATAACACCACGTCTCCAAAAGAAATTTTAAAATTAAAATAATTGAACAATCAAATTAAAAAAATCATTGAATTCGAAAGTTAATGATGAGGATCATCCTTGTACATGTAATTATTTCAAAAGCCAAACTTCCTACATGCTAATTATAAGTTATTCTTCGACTACATACCAAATTTCAACAGAATATACGCAACCTTTATAAATCGGTATGGGTCGCTCGACCCACTAGTGCCCCGTTGGTTACTTTTTGTTCACATTTAACCCCATTTTATTTCATGAGAAACCACTGGGGATCAATGTTCCAAATTTGAGCGTTCCAATTTTAATTTCTAACAATCGGTAAGGGTAATACCATGGGGTTTCGAAAAATTTTCAAATTTTACTTCATATGCTTCCATTATCAGCCATTAACAACCCCTAAACCAAAGTTCAGCTCATTTGGACGGTTTTGAAAAATCGGTATGGGTCACCCAATTGGGCCCCTAAAGAAAAAAATTTGGCCAATTTCAATTCATCATCTTCCATTAGAACCCCATAACAAGCTTTGTACCAAATTTCAGTTTTCTACAACAATTTTGAAATTTTGGTGCATAGTACCCCACCCACCTAGGTGACC